CCAATCCGAGTTTATATGAATGAGACGCAAAACACTGCTGACATTTATACAATTTCTGATGCGGGCCTATCCTCGGTTGTCTTTAAAAAAAGTCATTGACTATCTGTCCATTATTCTGCTCCAATCCTAACTCCGGCCTTCAGAATTCCCTGTAGAAGGGCCTGGACACAAGTGTCGTCCAACAGGCATTACGAACCACTTATATTATTTCCACTACACTAAGGTGGCAGCCGTGAAAAGCTGACGACCATTAGTGATAGTTTCAAAATTTTTTTAAATCTTTGAATGTGTTCAACTAAATAGTAAGACTGCCAGTCACACAGAATCGCAACAATTGCACAATCCAGGCAGCATGAGTTTAGAGCAGTTGATAGACGATTACTACACTGCCTTCAATGCACTAAAAGATAAGCTAAATACTAATGCAGTGTGCACTAATTTTGCAAAAGCCTTCGGCAGTTGTAGCCATGGTGTTATTGTACACTAAATACTGCAAAAGAAATACCTGGTGAAGTGGGCAGTTGCATATTTAAATCCTTAACAAACAGAACCCAGAGAGTAGTAGTGAACAGAGTAAAGTCGGATGCTACCACAGTGAAAAGCTCTGTTCCTCAAGACTCAGTACTCACCCCACTTCTGTTACTCATTCTTATATACGACAGAGCATTATTTGCTGATGACACCAGAATCTCTGCGTGACTGACGTCCCATGAAGATACAGCAAATCTTCGAGTGGATACAAATCAAGTCTTCCAGTAGGTTTTAGGCAATATGACATTCAATAAGAACAAGTTTCAAATACTGTGCTATGTAAAAATAGAGGAACTAAGACTGACAAAGAGTAAGGACACTCTCAAACTATTCAATGGAGCAATAGTTTCATGTGCGAGACATGGGAGTGATGATGTTAGAATATCTCTCATTTAAGGATCACATTAATGCTGCTATGCTTCCACAAGGAAAATGATTGACTGGATAACTAGATCTTTCAATTCATGAGACATTGAGCCATTTGTTCTCTCTTGGCTGGAATACTACTGGGAACGCTGGAAATCTCTTCTTTGAAGCCCAGGCGAGAAAGATGCATCATAATTTACTCCAGGAAAAACCTAGAGGAAATAGTACCAAACCGATACATTGAAATCACTCCATATGAAAACAAGAGACCAAGCAGACGGTGCAGAGTACTACCTCCAATAAAAGTAGAGGCGCGATGAATACACTTAGAGAGAGCTTCATGTATGACTATGGTCTCTGACTCTTGAATGCACTCCCTCTCTTTAAGACGGAGCTTAACAAGTTCCTAAAATCACTTCTTGACCAGCCGGGCTGTGGTTCGTACGCTGGACTACATACAGCCAGCAAAACAGTCTTGTAGATCAGACCTTGATCCACCGGGAGGCCCGATTTATAACCGAGTCGCGGTGGACCGGTTATAAATCAGTGCTGCTCCAACGCTGCCCACTGGGCAACTGGTCCATTTTTCTCTTTGTTGTGGATGTAGAAATGACCATATATATGATATCATATATAATATATGGTCGTGCAAGTGCATCTGCAATGATCCTTGCAACACAGAGTTATAGTGCGACGGAAGACTGAATCCTAGGTTTAACTCTACTGGTTCTTTCGGAAAGACTTGGGAGTGAGGAATACCAGCAGTGTGCATTTGATACATTTACAGATACAGTTAACAAGGCACAAACACAGATTCATTAATGGTTTAAGGTACTGTGACAAAGTGGGATATATAGCGCATGAAAACAATAAACAGTCGCCGAAAGAAAAGAATATCATCTACATATGCTTAAAATTCTCAAACTGAATGAAATTTCATGAGTATAGGGCATAAAAACCAACACTCGGTCCTTGAAATAGAAAACAGCACTCATATGCACAATGAATCCTCCCCCTCCCCCCTCCCCCCCTCCCCCCCCAAAAAAAGTATAAACCAACAGTGGTGAGTAAAATGATAGAAAATATTAAGAGGAGTCCCATAGCTCGATTGCTAGCGCACTCAGCTCACACACTGAGGTCCGTGGTTCGATCCCCGGTACGAGTGGAAACATTAGGACGTGTTTCCTTAAGACACCTGCTGTCCCTGTTTACCCATCAGTAAAATAAGTACTTGGGTGTTAGTGAACTGGTGTGAGTCGCATCCTGGGACAAAATTGACCTAATTTGCCCGAAATGCTGTGCATAACAAGGGACTTTTTATGTAGCAATATGCCATTGATGTCAGCTAGGCCTATATACCATGTACATGTACTTGTACTGACTTAAGAAATCGTAATGACACGTAATGTACATGTACTTGTAGAAATAAAGATATTATTAGTATTATTATTGTTATTGTTATTATTATTATTATTATTATTATTATTATTATTATTATTATTATTATTATTATTATTATTTATTATTATTATTATTATATATTATTTTTATTGTGCGACTTATGTCTCCGAAGTGCCACAATTGTTCCTTTCATCAATATAATTCTTCATGCAGAGTCTTCATTAAAACACATTTTTCTCGATGACGTCAATACATGGCTACAAGCGCCTCATCAGTTGTTCTATATATTCCCTCTCCCCGTGACATACTCGCTCGTTAATGCTTTAGAAATACTACTAGTCACATCACATGATATTTAAGATTAGTGGCAACAAGGTTCCTAACGGCGAGTTTCTTCAGTATTTTTGCATCTTACAGGATCAACACAAGTTTTTTTTTTCTCCTATGTGCGTGTTATCTGCGTATTATTTCAGTCACAGAATTGTGATTTGTTATTCTTTAAGGATCTACATTTTGTTGCCGAGATATTCAGTAAGGCAACTTTCTGGAATTCGTGAAGAGGTCTCCAAGTCACTTGACTTTGTTCACAAGACAGACAAGAGGATTATGGGTTAATAACGCTTGATCTCCGGCTCAAGCAATGTCCAATATGGGATACTTGACATGTGGTTACTTGCACCGGCTTTTCCTCTTGGAGCCTTTAAAGGCAATTTATGTTTTATTTACCTTTTCTTACTAATAGTTAATAAGCACTCAAGGTGTCTTGAAGTTCAACTGGCAACTTGATGACACCAACAGCACGTGCGTCTCGAGGGCAGCAACAACCAAGTGTAAGTTTGGACTTTGTCCTCCTTGTACTTGCTGAGAGTTGCACACTTTGACTTTTGTTCAGATTTTACTTCACAGATGGTACAACGCCGCCAAAATATCAAAGCAATATCATCTAGGAAAGACATTTGCAATAATTGGTTGGCAACAATGAAATATAACTCTTCCCTAGAAATGATTTACCAGAATTGAAACATACACCAGACTTGATACATACATCAGACATAAAACATACACCAGACTTGAAACATACACCAGACATAAAACATACACCAGACTTGATACATACACCAGACATAAAACATACACCAGACTTGAAACATACGCCAGACATAAAACATACACCAAACTTGAAACATACACCAGACATAAAACATACACCAGACTTGAAACATACACCAGACTTGATACATACACCAGACTTGATACATACACCAGACTTGAAACGTACAACAGACTTGAAACATACAACAGACTTGATACATACACCAGACATAAAACATACACCAGACTTGAAACATACACCAGACATAGAACATACACCAAACTTGAAACATACACCAGACATAAAACATACACCAGACTTGAAACATACACCAGACTTGATACATACACCAGACTTGATACATACACCAGACTTGAAACATACAACAGACTTGAAACATACAACAGACTTGATACATACACCAGACATAAAACATACACCAGACTTGAAACATACACCAGACATAAAACATACACCAGACTTGAAACATATACCAGACTTGATATATACACCAGACTTGAAACATACACCAGACTTGAAATATACACCAGATTTGAAACATATACCAGATTTGAAACATATACCAGACTTGATACATACACCAGACATAAAACATACACCAGACTTGAAACATACACCAGACTTGAAACATACACCAGACTTGAAATATACACCAGACTTGAAACATACACCAGACTTGAAATATACACCAGATTTGAAACATATACCAGACTCGATATATACACCAGACTTGAAACATACAACAAACTTGAAACATACAACAGACTTGATACATACACCAGACATAAAACATACACCAGACTTGAAACATACAACAGACTTGAAACATACACCAGACTTGAAATATACACCAGATTTGAAACATATACCAGATTTGAAACATACACCAGATTTGAAACATACACCAGATTTGAAACATACACCAGACATAAAACATACACCAGACTTGAAACATATACCAGACTTGATATATACACCAGACTTGAAACGTATACCAAATTTGTAACATATATCAGACTTGAAAACATTTAGCCAGTGAGGTTTTAGTTGTTGTTGGGCCACTCTGCTCCCTCTTTCTTCCACATAGATCAGGAAGACAGATAGTAGTGAAACTCTACTCTGGGTCCATTAGCAAAGAAGGAATAAAAAAATATTTATTTATACTAATTTGAATTTATTCTCATCCAGTCACAGATGAGCAGTCAGTTATTGAATCACAAAAAAAACCTAAATATCAATATGGCCACTTTACACCAGTAATTGTAAGAAAAGAAAATATATCTCTTTCTCAGGTTTGAAATCGATCAGGATGGTTTCCCTCTCATACACCATCACTCAGCATAATTATTCTCTCATACACAGCATGATTATCCTCTCCTGCACCCTCATACCACATGATTTTCCTCTCATATACTGTCACACTTTAAAATTCATTCAAAATATTACCTACCAAGAACTTCAATCGAAGATGTTTTCCAATTCTCCTCATTTCTTTTACATAGACTCAAACTGGCAATTTTGATTCTTAAAAGTGGCAACACCAGCGTGGCAACACCTTCATGACTGGACGATCAGTGTGAGTCTAACAGTGAGCCAGGATACAGCCTCCTCCATATATCACAATATACAATTACTGTGTTAGCTGACGTCCTTATATCTCTATATACAGTTAATATATTAGATGACGTCATTATATCTCTATACAGTTAATGTATTATATGACGTCCTTATATCTCTATGTAGTTAATTTGTAAATTATACAGGTTGAAGACTCAATTCGGAGAATGCAAGATCCAGTTGATAAATTGAAGGAACCAGAAGAGTTGATGGATAGTCAGTCCCAGGCTCGGAGTGGTCTGTTTCAGAGCCATGTTATATACCAGGTGAGTCTTGTGCAGGAAAAATTAATCTTGTGTGTTTTAAGAACTGCCAGTGTGAGTCGTAGGATCTTGGAGTATGTTGAAAGGGTGTGGGAGTGTGTGTCTAGCCCAGGAGCTAAAGTTGAACTGTAGCTGCACCATGCGTGGAAATACATCCGTCAACAGGTCCAGTAGCTGCACCTCAACCTCGTGAAAAGGCTAAATGAGAAGTGGAGCTCTGCCTCTTCAGGAAAACTGCACCTCGTGCTTCTTTAAAGCTAAAACGCAACCCTTTAAAGAACTCTCAAACCCTTAGAAAGACCAGGAGCTGCAGTTCAACACTTCAGAGGTTATCCATATTTGAATCAGGCCCAGTAGCTAGAACTGAGTCAGCAGCTTTAGCTCAACACCCTCAAAGGGTTCAGGAGCTCTGTACTATTTAAATTTAAGAAAAATAACAAAAACGATCTTTGTGGCTTATAACGTCAGGTTTCAACTGGCCTAGAGAGATGTTGATATAACGTACTAAACACTCCAAGCCAACCAATTTTTTTTTACATAATTACATGTACTTTGTAATGTATGTAATAGTTGTACCTCACCAGTTATTGTAATGTTCATAGTTCCTTCTAGGATAGAAAATTATAGTGATTTTTAAAAAGAAAACATTTGTAGCTAAATATTTTTTTGTTCAGCTTAGTGATTTTTGTGATCAGTTAAGTGCCTTATATGATCGATTGAATGATTTATGTCATCAACTTTAGTGATTTTCTTGATCAGTTTAGTGATTTTTCTTCATCAGTTTATTTATTTTTGTGTTCACTTTATAAATATTTACTTTTATTTCCCATCTTAAAACTTTAATAATTTGACAAATATCCAGGATTAAGTGGAAAATAATTTGTCATGATGACTGATGATGACTGATGATGAGTGACGATGACTGATGATGACTGATGATGACTGATGATGATTAACGATGACTGATGATGATTGACGATGACTGATGATGATTGACGATGACTGATGATGATTAACGATGACTGATGATGATTGACGATGACTGATGATGACTGATGATGACTGATGATGATTGACGATGACTGATGATGATTGACGATGACTGATGATGACTGATGATGTCTGATGATGACTGATGATGGTTGACGATGACTGATGATGATTGACGATGACTGATGATGATTGACGATGACTGATGATGACTGATGATGACTGATGATGATTGACGATGACTGATGATGATTGACGATGACTGATGATGACTGATGATGACTGATGATGACTGATGATGACTGATGATGATTGACGATGACTGATGATGATTGACGATGACTGATGATGACTGATGATGACTGATGATTACTGACGATGACTGATGATGATTGACGATGACCGATGATGACTAATGATGATTGATGATGACTGATGATGACTGATGATTGACGATGACTGATGATGATTGACGATGACTAACGATGATTGACGATGACTGATGATGACTGAAGATGACTGATGATGATTGACGATGACTGATGATGATTGACGATGACTGATGATGACTGATGATGATTAATGATGACTGATGATGACTGATGATGATTGACGATGACTGATGATGATTGACGATGACTGATAATGACTGATGATGACTGATGATGATTGACGATGACTGATGATGATTGACGATGACTGATGATGACTGATGATGATAATGATGATGAGATGACTGATGATGATTGACGATGATGATGGATTGACGATGACTGATAATGACTGATGATGACTGATGATGATTGACGATGACTGATGATGATTGACGATGACTGATGATGACTGATGATGATTGATGATGACTGATGATGACTGATGATGATTGACGATGACTGATGATGATTGACGAAGACTGATAATGACTGAAGATGACTGATGATGATTGACGATGACTGATGATGATTGACGACGACTGATGATGACTGATGATGATTGACGATGACCGATGATGACTGATGATGACTGATGATGACTGATGATTGACGATGACTAATGACGATTGACGATGACTGACGATGATTGACGATGACTGATGATGACTGAAGATGACTGATGTTGATTGACGATGACTGATGATGATTGACGATGACTGATGATGATTAATGATGACTGATGATGACCTGATGATGATTGACGATGACTGATGATGATTGACGATGACTGATAATGACTGATGATGACTGATGATGATTGACGATGACTGATGATGATTGACGATGACTGATGATGACTGATGATGATTAATGATGACTGATGATGACTGATGATGATTGACGATGACTGATGATGATTGACGATGACTGATAATGACTGATGATGACTGATGATGATTGACGATGACTGATGATGATTGACGATGACTGATGATGACTGATGATGATTGATGATGACTGATGATGACTGATGATGATTGAAGATGACTGATGATGATTGACGAAGACTGATAATGACTGAAGATGACTGATGATGATTGACGATGACTGATGATGATTGACGATGACCGATGATGACTGATGATGATTGACGATGACTGATGATGATTGACGATGACTGATGATGACTGATGATGATTGATGATGACTGATGATGACTGATGATGATTGACGATGACTGATGATGATTGACGAAGACTGATAATGACTGAAGATGACTGATGATGATTGACGATGACTGATGATGATTGACGATGACCGATGATGACTGATGATGATTGACGATGACCGATGATGACTGATGATGACTGATGATGATTGACGATGACCGATGATGACTGATGATGATTGACAATGATTGATGATGATTGACGATGGCTGATGATGACTGATGATGATTCATGATGACTGAAGATGACTAATGATGATTGACGATGACTGATGATGATTGACGATGACTGATGATGACTGATGATGATTAATGATGACTGATGATGACTGATGATGATTGACGATGACTGATGATGATTGACGATGACTGATAATGACTGATGATGACTGATGATGATTGACGATGACTGATGATGATTGACGATGACTGATGATGACTGATGATGATTGATAATGACTGAAGATGACTGATGATGATTGACGATGACTGATGATGATTGACGATGACCGATGATGACTGATGATGATTGACGATGACTGATGATGATTGACGATGACTGATGATGACTGATGATGATTGATGATGACTGATGATGACTGATGAGATTGAGCTGATTGATGACGAAGACTGATAATGACTGAAGACGACTGATGATGATTGACGATGACTGATGATGATTGACGATGACCGATGATGAATGATGATGATTGACGATGACCTATGATGACTGATGATGACTGATGATGACTGATGATGATTGACGATGACCGATGATGACTGATGATGATTGACAATGACTGATGATGATTGACGATGGCTGATGATGACTGATGATGATTGACGATGACTGATGATGACTGATGATGACTGAAGATGATTGATGATGACTGATGATGACTGATGATGATTGACGATGGCTGATGATGACTGATGATGATTCATGATGACTGAAGATGACTAATGATGATTGACGATGACTGATGATGATTGACGATGACTGATGATGACTGATGATGACTGACGATGACCGATGATGATTGATGATGATTGACTTTGACTGATGATGATTAATGACGGTTGTTGATGACTAATGATGAGGGTTTAGAGGGTGTTCAAGCATGAACATGAAGAAAGATATGGCTGAGCATAATGTTTAGTCTCAGGTGACAATAACAAGGTAAAGAAGCGAAAGTGTTTACTCAGAGACTGCTAAGTGCTTGTGCTGAGGTCTGTCCCATGTTGTGGGTGCTGAGGCCTGTCCCATGTTGTGGGTGCCAGTGTAGCATCATATCCATACTGTGGGCGTCAGTGAAGCACCATGCCCATACTGTGTCAATGTAGCACCATACCCATGCTGTTGGTGTCAGTGAAGCAGCATACCAATACTGTTGTTGTCAGTGAAGCACAATACGAATACTGTGGGTGTCAATGTAGCACCATACCAATACTGTGTCAGTGAAGCACCATACCTATACTGTGTCAGTGTAGTACCATATCCATACTGTGGTTAGTAGTCACCCCATACTCACCTTGTGGGTGGTAAATAGGTAATCAAGATATTACAGAACCACATAACGGGTTCAGGAGCTGTACCGCAACTTACCATTAAGTAAGCAAATTACAGTATTAATCAGCTGTTTACGAGAGAATTAAGCTCAGTTACAACAGTAAAGAGTTGAATAACATTGCAATAAAGCAAAACATTACAGAAGCACAATAGTGCAAGTGACTCATCATAAGTGCTCTGTTGACCAAGCAGGTTACAGAGGGTGAGTTATTTGCTTTAGGTTAGGATATTTAGCTAGTTTGTGCGAGACACAGATGTTGGTGAGAGACGTGGTTCAATACTTCTGTATTTTTCTACTGAGGCCTCTAAATACAGGTTATGTAAAGTCTGTTGATAATGTGTGAATTTGGATAGATCTTGAACCCAAAGATGCAATAGAGTCCTTCCTTGAAGACAGAAACATTTACCAACTTTGTATATCTATCGTATATTTGTAGGTTAATGTGTGAGGGAGACCACAGAAGGTGAACCTTACTCCATTAAAGAATATAAAGTTGCAATACCGTAATTGGAACAATTCGTCCTAACTCCCTTACTTAGTGCAGAAACTTATGTCAACGTTTGGGTCCATCCTTTGGCCATTGTTAAGTCATAACTTAGATACAGATTGATGGACTGACCACATCGACTCAAGGTTGAGGGACTGATTACCTCATTCTCCTCATGTTCTTCAAGATTCTCCTTTGTATGAACTGACGAAGCCACTGTGTGGCGAAACGTTTCCTCAATAAAGATACCCAAGAGTTGCACATGTGTCTAATTTATGAACGTGTCGGTTCTCTGAACCATTTATCTACAGGAAGTACTTAAACCTCATCATAAGGTTCCCATCATAAGTGAGAAGGAACATTAACATTTACAATTCTAACATACCTCTGTTTGTCTTCTCATACAATTATGTTACAATCCTGCAGAATGAAAATATCTTTACTTTACAATATGACAATTTTACAGATTTTTTATAATTGTATATTCCTACAAGGTAATGACAATAGTTATTCATTATGTTTTGAAGTTAGGAAACCTGCTATTAAGATTTCAAGCTGGATGCTTGGACACGTTTGAGTAATTAAAGTATAAGGAACCATACAATTTTGAGGCACTTTGTATATATCTGTACACTGAGAGTACGTGTATGTACACGTGGAGGGGTATGTATGTCAGTATGCATACACTAAGAATTCACCTAACTTGGTGATAATAGTCCCATCTTTGGGAATAAGAATTTCTGACATGTAACATGCGTCCTTAATATTAAGTCCCTCGTGTGTCGATAGGCTTAAGCCTAAGTAACCAATCAGTCAACCGGTTTTAAGGATGAAAGCCCAGGTAAGCGATCCCAAATTTCTAAATAGGGTTGATAGAGGGAGCTATAACTGTAAACAGTTTAGGAGAGAGAGTGTTCATTGACTCGACTCCCTGCACGACTTAAAGGATCATGTCAGGCTTCAAGACTAGGCTTGAATCACGAACCAATCAAGTATTTTAGGGTGGAATATGGGAGGAGAGAGATCCCTTTGGTGTAGGGAATAGTTATTGTTATCATACTTGACATAAGTTGTTGTGTCTAGTTAAAGAACAAGACTTATTTGGAGATCAAACAAGGTGACACAGTACCCTGAAGCTTAAAACAGAAAGGTTTTACAAATAACATGTCTCTAAAGTCTTTGTCTCAGCAGCACCAACTGTTTCCTTACTCCTCAGTACAGAAAAGAGTTCGGAAGGCTTCAGTGTATCACAATAGGTTTGAAAAATTAAACTCATGTGTAACATCTGGGTATCTTTATGTGTAGACGTTTTGCCATCCATTGACTTTATCAATACACTATATGGACACAATCTGAAGACTGTAGAAATGTGTATAGAAAACAGAGGAAGACGAGTTAATCAGTGCCTCAACCTAATTTTTTTTTTCAGTAACACGATCTCTTAGGCTAGGAATATACTTATTTCCGAATAATAGTTAATATTAGTGGCAAATGGGCATTCTAGGATGATCCTCATCGCTTGCTTCTGAATTTTACTCAGCCGTTAATGCGTTATTTTGGGCATCTAAAAAATTCAGAGAGCTGTAACGTAGTCAACCCACACCATTCTTACAACTGTGACATTATCACCATTTCTGACGTGGAACCCTGCCATATTCTCGAGTCTTCTTAGCCTTTCTTTGTATTGACGACAAAGTCTGGTTACAAAAAGACCAAGTCCGAGAGATACATTTACCTGGTCACATAAAGCAGCTTTCATAACTCGTAAAAATCGTAATAATGCGATTGAAAAAAGAGATCACGGAACGGGTGGGGTTTGAACTCATTGCAAGTGAGTCCAAAAACTGTGCACAGGCCAGTGTGTTAACGCACTGGACTGTGAGTTTTAAGACTCACTTGCCATGGGTTCAAACCCCACCCGTTCTATGGTTTATAATACCGCTATGTACAACTGGATCGCGTGTCATACACGTATTGTATTGTGCCATACACGAATTTTATTGTATAAAACATATTTTATTGTCATTCATAAATTTTATTGCGTCATACACCTATTATATTGTCATACAAGTACTTTACTGTCATACACATATTTTACTGTCATATACATATTTTATTGTGTCATATACGTATTTTATTGTGTCATACACGTATTTTATTATATGATACACCTTTTTTTTGTGGCACAGGTGTTGCTTCAGTTTAGAGACACTGTGTGTAGTGTTTGAAGTGATGGGCGAGAAAGTGTATGAGAGGTGTATTTCAGGTGATGGGCGTGGGTGCGGTGGGCGTGGGTTCGCTGGTATCTCTCTTGGCTATGGGCTACACCTCCCCGGCTCTGCCATCCATGAGGAACGACCCACACTTTTCCATCACCCATGAGCAGGTCAGTCAAGACTCACAAGCAGCTTAGTCTTGTGTTTCAGTTAACGTTGACTGATGAGTGCTGACGTATTCATCTTATCTTGTGTTTGTTTCAGGAGTCGTGGGTGGGAGCGGTGATGCCTGCATGTGCATTCGTGGGCAGTATTGCTGCTGGTCCACTGGTGGACCGTTTGGGCCGCCGGGCTGTCCTCCTCCACCTCACCTGGCCCTTAGTCTTGTGTAAGTCTTAAAGGTTCACCTTAAAACCTCACCAGCTCAACATACAAATTTTTCCCTGAACCTGTTTACCTCCTTCAGGTTCCAGAGCTCTGTGTAAATCACGTCTTATATTTGGCACTCCCCGCAGCGTGGGCAATGATAGCTTGGGCCGGAGGCGTGGGCTTGGTGCTAGCTGGCCGGATGTTGAGTGGAGTGTGTGTGGGAGTGCAGACCACAGCCCGGGTGGTCTATATGCCAGAGATCATTCAGCTGGACCTTCGTGGTCCACTCTCTGTTATTCCAGCTCTCTCTGCCAACCTAGGTAATACTCTCTTAAAGAAGCTGCACCCTCGTGCAGGTGATATATGAACAGCACCGTCCTGCAGGTATTGTGACAGTAACACACTCTACAGGTGTTGACACTAACACTCTTCTGCAGGCGTGACAGCAGTACCCTCCTGCAGGTGATGTATGAGTAAGACCCTCCTGCAGTTATTGTGACAGTAACATCCTCCTGAAGGTGTTGAAGTAGTTATACCCTCCTGCAGGTGCTGTAATGCTAACACTCTCCTGCAGGTATTGTGACAGTAAAACCCTCCTGCATGTGCTGTGAGAGTAATACGCTCCTGCAGGTGTTCTGACAGTAGCACCCTCCTTCAGGTACTGTGACAGTAATCCCTTCCAGCAGTTGTTGTGACAATAATACCTTCCTGCAAGTGTTGTAACAGTAGTAACACCCTCGTGCAGGTGTTGTTACAATAACACCCTCCTGCAGATGTTTTAACAGTACAACACTCCTGTAGGTATTATAAAAGTAACACTTTTCTGCAGGTGTGACAGCAACACCTTCCTACAGGTATTGTGACAGTAACGCCTTCCAACAGGTGTTGTGACAGTAACAATTTCCTGAAGGTGTTGTGAGAGTAACATTCTCCTGCAGGTGATGTATGAGTAACACTCTCCTGCAAGTGTTATGTCAGTAATGCCCTCCTGTAGATGTTGCGACAGTAACACCCTCCTGCAGGTGATGTTACAGTAACACCCTCCTGCAGGTGTTGTGAGAGAAACACCCTCATGCAGGTGTTGTGAGAGTAACACCCTCCTGCAGGTACTGTTACAGTAACACCTTCCTGCAGGTGTTATGTCAGTAACACTCTCGTACAGGTGCTGTTACAGTAACATCCTCGTGCAGGTGCTGTTACAGTAAAGCCCTCGTGCAGGTGTTATGACAGTAACACCCTCCTGCAGGTGCTGTTACAGTATCACTCCTGCAGGTGTTGTGGCGGTAACAATCTCCTGCAGGTGCTGTTGCAGTAACACACTCGTGCAGGTGATGTATGAGTAACACTATAGCAGTTGCTCAAAATCATGGACAATGTATCGTAATATCCGCAGGTCCTTCAAAAACAATCTATGCCTCTCTCAAGGGTCGCAGTTCTCATTTCAATATTTACAGCTGCAGTATGTGAAGAAAAGAACAGTTTCATTGCATCTGAATTGCGTTTCAGTTTAGAAACCTCAGTTCACCTTTACATTACAGAGAGCTAAGGCCAGTTTCAAGAGCCGGGGTTCAGAAAGCCTGTTGGCGGGATAGCACCTGACACTGTGACTATAAAGGGTGTTGTAAACGTGCTGGAAAGCTCTGAATTGGTGATCATATAATGTGTTTTCAGTGTGTTAAGAAGATTTGCTTGGGCATTTAGAGAGGATGGAGCAGAATAGGTGAAAGGAAGGGTAGGGGGTCAACTAGAAAGAATTAGAGGGAAGGAAATAGGCTTTAAGTAGTAGGGGTGTTAGGATGCAGCAGGCGTGTGTGTGTGTGTTAGATCGGAGTGAATGGAAACAACTGATTTGTAGGGATCTGATATGCTCTTAGACTGTAGGCAGGGCAACATTCATAAAGAGACTCAGGAAAACAGGTTAGTTGAACTGGAGGTCTTGGAGGGATGAAGTACAGCCTGCACTCTGAAGGAGAAGTGAAGATACAACAGTTCAGAGGGTCATTTGAACTGTGATGTCTGTACACTTCTGGAAAACCAACTGTTGTTTGAATAATGGTGAATGTTTCCTTTTTTAGGTTACCCTTACTTTAAGAGACAACTGGTATGTTAAAAAAATCGTTTGTTGCAGGTCTGTTGGTGAGCTTCTCTGGTGGTCAGTACCTCTCATGGAGGGGTCTAGCATGGTTGGCAGCAGCACTCTGCCTTCCTGTGCTACCTCTCCTCTATCCTCTACCCGAGACACCCTACTACCTGACACGTACAGGTAGGTGACACTCCGATGATTGTAGGTGACACTCCAATGTTAGACTCATGACATGTGACTTGATAAGTAAGACACATGTGCAACAGTTATTTATTTTTATTTAGAAACGTTTCGCCTACACAGTAGGATTCCTCAGGCGAATACAGAGGCAGTAGAAGCAGTAGAGATGTAAAGACGGTGTAATCCGTTCATCACCTTAGAAGACAGTTTTGAGGTGGTCAGTCTCTCAGCCTGGATAAGAGTTCTGCTCCACAGTTTGGAACAATGTGAAGCTGAAGCAACAGAATGGAGACTTATATTCTTATGACATTATATTAGGAAGTTATACTTACACTTATGATGCAAGACTTAAACTTTATTATTGACGTAAGAGTAGATATCGTAACACATCCTTATCATTTACCTCTACTTCGGGTTCATTAATTTTTTATATTAAATTATGGACATTTTTTCTCCCCAAATTAAATAGAATTGAAGTGAAACAACATTTCCATACAATGTTTCTCATGTTACAGGCAATAGGGAGGCGTCTTTGAGTGCCTTGCGACAGTTGAGACACACAGCACAGCTGGCTGTGAAGGAGCAGGAGGAGATCAGTAAGAAATGCATTGCTAGTGAGAAAAGTTCTCATGTAAGTATGTGGGAGATAATTCAGTCGCCCAACTTATGGCCCCTCAGTGTTGCAGCTGCACTCATGTTGGCTCAACAAACCACGGGTTACACTGCAGTTGTCGCCTTTGCTTCCAGTATCCTAGACAGTGAGCAAAGTGGTAGGGACAGCAGCTCCTCGTCAATGTTGCTAGGCATTGTCAATTTCCTGTGTACTTTCCTGAGCCTTTACTATATGTCTAAATGTAGAAGGCGCTATCTTCTTCTCGTGTCAGCGGCTATCATAGTGTGCTCTCTCCTCACGCTGTCGCTGTTTTTCTGGGCTCAGAGCACAGGAGGTTACATTTCTGCAATAGCCAAAAACATGAGCTTCGTGCCTGTTATAGCTCTCCTGGCTTACATAGTCGGATCTTCACTAGGTTGGAGGATTATACCCTGGGTATTCGTAGTTGAAGGGATGCCCAGCCGAGTGCGGGGCAAGGCTTCAGCTGTGGTGGTAGCCATCAACTGGGCATCTGCTTTCCTTATTACCAAGACATTCTCCTGGAGTATATCTTCCCTGGGTGCCCACAACACCTTCCTGGGGTACGCTGTCATGACGGGCATCAGTACCATTCTTATCCACCACTCCATGCCCGAGACTCTCCATCAGTCGGCTGCCCAGATGGACCAACTTTATCAAGAGGCTGCAAAGAGTAAACAACAATAACCTTTCACAACATTATATATATGTTGATATAATTATCTTTTAGATAAATGTTAAAATTGGTATATTTTCAGTCTATGCGTACTTCTTTCAGTATTTTGTTAAATGAATATTGAAGATAATATTTTATCAGATGAATTATTTTATTAATAGCGAATGCAGTTAACTGCTAAAAGTGGCAAGGCTATATAGCTTCACTTTGGCTAGGCTATGTGACTGCTCTATGGCTAAGTTATATGACTTTTCCATGACTGATGCATAGCTAGGCTGTATGACTTCTCCATGGCTAGGCTATATGACTGCCACCTCGACAGATAACGAGAATATATACCTCAAAACATATTTTTTTCCCAGCGCTTTTATACTGTGAGTTCACTCTTTACGTGCAACCTTAATGATCCTCGTGAAGTAGAAAGACTTTAAACCCTGTTAATCAAATAGATTCTAGTAGCTATATTACATATACCTCGTTGACTGATGATAGAAATCCTGCCATGAGTATTCTGTATCAACCGTAGTCCCATCTTTGCTCACATGCAGCAAATTGTTAGAGCACCATTGTAAATTTAAACAAATTACATGAAGAATAAATTAATGAAGATAGCACGCTACGAGCAGAGCTCTGCTCTTGTAGCTACAAATGGGTATTTACAAATAGGGAATTACATTCATATATCTTGTAGAGCAGAACACCTTAATCAGTGACATCTTTTGCATCTTTTAATTAATTTTGAGAGTTGTTAGACGCCGATTGGAATGATCAATTACTGGAAGTAGTAGTTACCTTAGCGAGATTAATCCCAGTCAACCAACCAACAGTCTGAGATATTAAATTACTTTAATAATCAGGAATCATTCAAAAAGTTGGCTAATTCGTCTTAAAACTGATTCAAAAGTTGAATTTGTAATAAACGATAATTCAGTTAACTGCAAGTTTAGCTTTTGGCAGAGCTGTTCCTGTGCTGGATTTCTTTTAATACACAAAACAAGCTAAAAACTAGGAATCGCTTGAATCTTTGCGATAACTAGAAAATTCCTCTTCTAATCGGATTTAAATTTTCAGCCTTGGTGTACTTTAAAGGCTCTCGGTGATGGGCTGCAAAGAAGTAATAATCTAGCTTTGACTGGTTAATGAGGATTAATACGTATCTTCTACACGAGTCATTAACGCTGGGTGGGTGCTAAGGAGGTTTAAAGCTTACCTACTACACGAGGGTCATTAGGACTTGTTCGTTAGTTAATGGAATTTAAAGTCTATTTATTACACGAGAGCCATTAAGAGTACATGTCATCTGCATATCACAAGTCAAAAATACTCTAAACCCCAAAATAGTGATTAATGTAAACACTCACTTTATATACTTTGAGAGAAACTCCTTTCAGAAATACACTTCTTAGTGTACGTACACGGAGAAAAACACATAACAGTATATATATATTTACTGAGAGAAACACAGCTCTCAATGTATATACACTAGGAGAAAGTCTTTTCACTGTATATGAACTGAAGGATCTTCAGCTCTCAGTGTGAGTAATAAAAAAAGCATGGTAATTATTAAAGCAGAAAATGTTTTAAGATTGTAGGTTACTGTTGTCACATTTAAGCCTTGAAGTTTAGCTGTTGTTACAGTATCTTAGCCTTGAAGTTTAGCTGTTGTTACAGTATCTTAGCCTTGAAGGGTAGCAATTGTTAGAGTATCTTAGCCTTGAAGGGAAGCAATTGTTAGAGTATCTTAGCCTTGAAGGGTAGCAATTGTTAGAGTATCTTAACCTTGAAGGGTGGTAGTTGTTACAGTATCTTAGCCTTGAAGGGTAGCTGTTGTTACAGTATCTTAGCCTTGAAGGGTAGCAATTGTTAGAGTATCTTAGCCTTGAAGGGTGGCAGTTGTTACAGTATGTTAGCTTTGAAGACTAGTGGTTGTTACAGTATCTTAGCCTTGAAGGGTAGCAGTTGTTACAGTATCTTAGCCTTGAAGAGTAGCGGCTGTTACAGTATCTTAGCCTTGAAGGATAGCAGTTGTTACAGTATCTTAGCCTTGAAGGGTAGCAGTTGTTACAGTATTTTAGCCTTAAAGTGTAGCTGTTGTCACAGTATCTTAGCCTTGAAGGGTAGCAATTGTTAGAGAATCTTAACCTTGAAGGGTGGCAGTTGTTACAGTATCTTAGCCTTGAAGTGTAGCAATTGTTACAGTATCTTAGCTTTGAAGGGTGGCAGTTGTTACAGTATCTTAGCCTTGAAGGGTAGCAGTTGTTGCAGTATCTTAGCCTTGAAGAGTAGTGGTTGTTACAGTATCTTAGCCTTGAAGGGTAGCAGTTGTTACAGTATCTTAGCCTTGAAGGGTGGCAGTTGAACAGTATCTTAGCCTTGAAGGGTGGCAGTTGTTACAGTATCTTAGCCTTGAAGGGTAGCTGTTGTTACAGTATCTTAACCTTGAAAGGTAGCAGTTGTTACAGTATCTTAGCCTTGAAGAGTAGTGGTTGTTACAGTATCTTAGCCTTGAAGGGTAGCAGTTGTTACAGTATCTTAGCCTTGAAGGGTGGCAGTTGTTACAGTATCTTAGCCTTGAAGGGTGGCAGTTGTTACAGTATCTTAGCCTTGAAGGGTAGCAGTTGTTACAGTATCTTAGCCTTGAAGGGTGGCAGTTGTTACAGTATCTTAGCCTTGAAGGGTAGTAGTTGTTACAGTATCTTAGCCTTGAAGGGTAGCAGTTGTTACAGTATCTTAGCCTTCAAGAGTAGCGGTTGTTACAGTATCTTAGCCTTGAAGGGTAGCGGTTGTTACAGTATCTTAGCCTTGAAGGGTAGCAGTTGTTACAGTATTTTAGCCTTAAAGTGTAGCTGTTGTCACAGTATCTTAGCCTTGAAGGGTAGCAGTTGTTACAGTATCTTAGCTTTGAAGAGTAGCAGTTGTTACAGTATTTTAGCTTTAAAGTGTAGCTGTTGTCACAGTATCTTAGCCTTGAAGGGTAGCAGTTGTTACAGTATTTTAGCTTTAAAGTGTAGCCGTTGTCACAGTATCTTAGCCTTGAAGGGTAGCAGTTGTTACAGTATCTTAACTTTGTAGAGTAGCGGTTGTTACAGTATCTTAGCCTTGAAGGGTAGCAGTTGTTACCGTATCTTAGCCTTGAAGGGTAGCAGTTGTTACAGTATCTTAGCCTTGAAGGGTAGCAGTTGTTACAGTATTTTAGCCTTAAAGTGTAGCTGTTGTCACAGTATCTTAGCCGTGAAGGGTAGCAGTTGTTACAGTATCTTAACCTTGAAGAGTAGCGGTTGTTACAGTATCTTAGCCTTGAAGGGTAGCAGCTGTTACAGTATCTTAGCCTTGAAGGGTAGCAGTTGTTACAGTATTTTAGCCTTAAAGTGTAGCTGTTGTCACAGTATCTTAGCCTTGAAGGGTAGCAGTTGTTACAGTATCTTAGCTTTGTAGAGTAGCGGTTGTTACAGTATCTTAGCCTTGAAGGGTAGCAGTTGTTACAGTATCTTAGCCTTGAAGGGTAGCAGTTGTTACAGTATCTTAGCCTTGAAGAGTAGCGGTTGTTACAGTATCTTAGCCTTGAAGGGTAGCAGTTATTACAGTATTTTAGCCTTAAAGTGTAGCTGTTGTCACAGTATCTTAGCCTTGAAGGGTAGCAGTTGTTACAGTATCTTAGCTTTGAAGAGTAGCGGTTGTTACAGTATCTTAGCGTTGAAGGGTAGCAGTTGTTACAGTATCTTAGCCTTGAAGGGTAACAGTTGTTACAGTATTTTAACCTTAAAGTGTAGTTGTTGTCACAGTATCTTAGCCTTGAAGGGTAACAGTTGTTACAGTATTTTAACCGTAAAGTGTAGCTTTTGTCACAGCATCTTAGCCTTGAAGTTTAGAACTTGTCACAATATCACTTCTGTTCTTGAGAGTTCACATAGCCATATTTTCAACGTTATAATTAATTTGGTGGAGAAATAAGATAATATCAAGACACCGAGAGTATGTTAACACTAACCTAGTAAACAGTGGTCACCCTGACCAAAATAAACACATAGATTGGTGGTTAATTAAGCTTAAACCATATTAACTGCGGCTTGGCTAGGACTCGATCCTGCCTTCCCACGTCTAGTCCTGTTCACTGTGAACTGAACAAAGTATACATCACTCTCTCCACTGGACCACCATCCTGGCAGTTCTGTTTATGATTCACAATCACTTGTTTTGTGATTTCATAACAGGCGAAATTAGAGACACTGTTTATATATATATATATATATATATATATATATATATATATATATATAATATTATATATATACATATATATTATATATATATATATATATATATATATATATATATATATATATATATATATATATATGTATATATATATATATATATATATATATATATATATATATATATATATATATATATATATATATATTATGTATTATATATATATATATATATATATATATATATATATATACATATATATATATATATATATATATATAATATATATATATATATAATATATATATTATATATATATATGTATATATATATATATATATATATATATATATATATATATATATATATATATATATATATATATATATATATATATATATATATATAGGGAGGAGTACAAGATCAGCAAGTACAGGGACATTAGCCAACAGTATCAATTTGTCCCAGTGGGATCGGAGACCTTGGGATCATGGGGAAAAAATGCCACACGTTTCCTTAAAGAATTGGGTTCCAGACTCATCGACACCACCAGGGACCCAAGGGCAGCCACTTTCATGTTCCAGCGCCTCAGCGTCGCCATCCAGAGGGGAAATGCTTGCTGCATACTTGGCTCACGTCCAGCCTCGGAGGAGCTGGAGGAAATTCATCATCTTTGATACATTGTGCCATTGTATTCATGTTTATGTTTTTTTCTGTAAATGTATTTTGTTTATTAATAAATGTTCACATAGAATTAGAAACATATAGGGGGTGGTAGGAGAAGAAAATATTCAAACAGCTCCGGGGAGAACCTTGAGTTTTCTCTGAGGTACGTTTATTGTCTTCTCTGAGGATGAGGGTCCCCATTCCAGCTATAGAGGTGGTACTTCCCTATATATTTATATATATATATATATATATAATATATATA